ATAAAAAGAAGTGTGCATTCTATTTTGGTTACTAACAAAATAACACCAAACAAGTGATTTGTGTATGCGAAGAAAAAAATAGTAACTTACTAACACTGCATATAATCATAGACAGTAGGTCTAGCTTATTATTCTTCTCTAATTCTCTCCATATTAACTCATGAAAAAAAGAAGTGAGTTTGGTCCCTGGATTATAAAAAAACTGCTAACTCAGTCCCTCAATCAATTTGAATGCCTGGGGCTATCCTTTATCTTTTGTGACTTGTAAGATATAGCCCCTCCAGTTGCTGAGATATTAGTTTTGACCATTTTACCTTGGTTGTCAAGGTTAAAATTGGAATTTTATAAATCACCTCCTATGAAGCCATACAAACGGAAAGGTGATTAGACAATTGTAGATTGCTATGGCTGACCTGTGGCTGACAGCCGTCCACTACAGTTGAAACCCATGAGTGGTGGAGATGGCAATACCATTTGCTAAAGGAGATGAAGTACTGCAGTGCGCAATAAAACTTGTGATAAGGACAATTCAACCTACTATTTCGACTTCCATTGTTGACTTCACGGATTCAAAGAAATCCTACTCACTTTTCCGCACTATCTACGCAAGAAAGAGAGACACTACTTCCTCAAATTGTTTAGCTTCAATGTCATTCAAATTTTTGACTATTCCGTAAAAGTTTCCCTTTACAAGAGTATCGATCTTCCCTATACCCAGCATGATATTGATGCTTAATTGTCCCATTTGTAAAATAGGGGTAGAAGATCTTTGGAAGTCCTATATTTAATGATTTTATATAACTTAGGGACTAACATTGGATTTTCCATTTATTTATTAACAGTTACAGAGTAATTACTTGTATATTCCATAGTGAAATAAAAACCAAATTTCTTAGAGCTCGTTCGCTTTCTCTAGCTCTTCAAAATATTCCTCTTTTTTCTCTAGAACTTGGAATTATAACTTGTCCATTTTAACTAAAAGCTAGATTTCGATACTAAAGGATATTTTTTGGTACTATATTGATTCGAAAACAGTCATGGTATAATAATATTTTGAATAATGAAATGCCTTTTTGCACCTTGTTATTCTTGATTTTAAGGTCTAATTTTAATTTCAATACAGGCCTCTGAATACTTTGGCCCAGAGGCACTTCGAAGACAGAATTCACAACATCAAACATAACTTAAGCCAATTGCAATTGTCAGAGATTCAACATCAACAAAGAAAAATTGAATCCATCCAAGGTGATCTTAACCAATTACTAGCTTTATCCCAGAATATGCATATGCAACAACAGGTTCCTCCTCCACCGACTCTAGGGGTGTCTGGGACACCATCACTTATTACAGGTATGGCTGCTAGGATTTAATAGGTAGACAACATTTTGCAGGAGTAATTCATACCTTGCCTTTCTATCTTAAACTAATTTGTCAATCCTTTAAAAGCTGAGCAGAGCCGTCTTTGTGTATGATGCATTGTTATTGTAGTAATACAACTGCTTACCGTCTAGGTTGAAACTTCTAAATAATAATTATGTATGCTCCCTTTGATTTTTTTGGTTTGATGCATGGTTGTGAAAAGCGTGTCTGCTGCGCAAGGGATTGTGTGTCAGGCTCTATGATGCGGTCAACATACCTAAGGTGTCAGGCTCTACGATGCGGTTCAATCTTTTCTAGTTTCTTCCAGTTTTTCCCGTTCCTTTCATTTTTCCCCCCCAATTTTGCAGTTTCTTCGAGTTTTCTTTCAGTTTCTTCCAAGTTCCAACATCTAACTCTTTTTCTGTTCAACTTTAAAGAACAGGCTTTTTTGTATTCTGAGCATGAGATGAATACAATATTTAGATGATTACTCTATTATAATATTTAGCCAGCTAATGAGTAATGTCCTTATGTGGATTGTACTCGTATAAATGCTAGAAGGTACTATGAGATGAGTAAGAAATATTTTATCTAAATTCCTTTCTCCTTTTTCTGTCTAATTTCTCACCTATTTCCTTCCCCTGCATTCTATCACTGCTATTTTTAGGGTTTTGCATCATTCTTTACGATTTGCAGTGTCTTATTTTCAGTGATATCTCATCAAATCACTGCAGCGAACCTGTCTTTTTAATTTTTTTTATTAGGGTCTACTGACTTCCACCTCTCTCTGCTTTGAGCCATTCTAACGCAGTCTTCTCTGACTTCCCTGCTTTGACTTTCTGCATGTTCTCTTTTCTTCAACTCTCATCCATTTATGCTGCTTGGAGGTTTTCTGCATGCTAGTCATTTAGGGTTTGTGATGTACACATAGCTGTGCCAGGGTCCTTTTGTGCATCGGTGCCCATCGTGCCATAAACAACTATGGTGTGATCTACATTTTGCACTTCTTTATAAATATCATTTCTTTTTGGACCAAAGACCTTGTGGCCCAGTGGCACCAAGGTGACTCTTCAAATGGGAAATAGCGTAGTAGGTTATATCAATGGTTAATGGTTCTTCTTAGTTCGAATCTCTATGGACTAGGATCTTCACTAAACTAGTCTTTTTAATATGAAATGCCTTCTCTACTTCCAAAATCATATATATATATATATATATATATATATATATATATATATATATATATATATATATATATATATATATATATATACTCCCTCCGTCCCACTCTTTTTGTCCACTTTCATTTTTGCACACCATCCAATGCACTTCTTTAATTCATTTTATCTTGTAATTTGTATATTAAAAAATTATAAAAATTATATATTAATAATCTATATATTAAGACAAATCAAACAAGATCACATATGACTATTTTTAGACTTACACATTGAGAGAATTTGATGAGTCAAAGTGCTTAGATGAACAGTTCCAAAAGTCAAAACTGGACAAAAAGAGTGGGACGGAGGTAGTATATATATATATATATATATATATATATGTATGTATGTATGTATATGTATGTATGTATATGTATATATACTGGCATGCCATGAAATTTTAACATGCAAGTGAAGTAGGCATGGGCCACTGATGATGCCGTATAAGGATGGAACAAGGGGATGAAATGGGCATATTTAGACAGTCAAATTACTACAACCATGAGCACTGACTTATCCGATACCTTTGGCAGGCCTTCCACAAAATCCATTGATATGTTGGACCAAATGTGCTGTGGCACTGGAAGAGGCTGTAAAAGAGGTGCCAAATGGAGATTTTTCCATTTATTTTTCTTGCATATGGAGCAGATTCGGATGAACTCTTGGACCTTTCGTACCCATCCAATAGAACTGTCGAGTTACCCTAAAGAAGTGTCTTTATACCCCTTAACGTGTGCCATTGTGGACTTGAGATATAATTACCATGGCTAGTGGCGAGTTTGATGGATTGTAAATTTTGTTCTTGATCCATATCAACCCATCACTAATGATAGGCACCCACTCCAAGGTAGAGAGACACAATTGGCAGTAAGGTAAAGGGAGGAAGTTATAAGGCTATATTGGTGAGGTTTTGTGCAAGGAATGGAGGATTTTAAGGGAGGGAAGACTAGGAACGAAATTGGCAGTGGGGAAGGAGTATTTTTAGGCTTTTGTTTAAGTGGAAAAGTGGAGAGAAAAGTAATATTAGGGTGGTGGATGGGAGCAGGCCGAAAATAAGGGAGAAGAGAGAGGGAAAAACAGTTTAGTATTTCTTTGGGATAGATAAACCAAGTTGGTGTTAAAGAGATATTACACACTCTTCTCCTCACTTGGGGTTCAATCTAGAATTTAATTAAGATATAACACACTTAATCAAATATCTAGAACCTAACACTCACACTTAAGGAAACCAACCTTAAGATATAGAAATTAGGATTTAAAATAACAAACACAATGGTTTATTACTTGGAAATGAAAAGGAATACCATCTGTTTTCAAATGAGGCCTATGGCCGAAATAAATAACAAGGGAAAGGGGGAAATTACAAGCTTTGTTCCTTAACCAAATCACCAAAATATGACTTAA